GAAATGCATTCTTGTAAATAAGGGATAACAGTTTTCAAATATTGATGTAATGGCTCAAAAGATATTATTTTGAATACAGGCATGATGCCTTTGATCCTTTCTTTGAACAAATTTTCTGTCCAGTTATTTATAATATGAAAGTTTTTTTTATATTTTGGTAAGAATAATTGACTTAGGATTCATCCACTCAACAGCTTTGTAGGTGCACACTACCATTACAGGAAGAATTTTGCTGACATTTCTTGAACTTACTTGCACACCTGAAGCCTTTATGCCTGTTGTATTGATTTTCACTGCTTTTCCTTCCTGTGATAAAATCCATGGCCAAGAGGGTTTATTTTGGTTGGTGGTTCCAGAGAGATAAGAGTCCATCATGGTGATGAGGTATGGCAGCAAGCCGCAGGAAGCCAAGAGATGATTTTTTTTTTCCCCTACGGAGACAGGAGGCAGAGAAAGTGAACTGAAGTGGGATGAGGCTGGCAACTCTCAAACCTTATGCCCAGTGGTGTATTTCCTCCACTAAAGTCTTACCACCTCTCCAACTACCACCACCACCTGGGGAGCAGGTGCTCAGATACATAAGCCTATGGGGGACAGGTCTCCTTTAAATCACCACACCTATTAATTAGCAATTTCTCAACTTACGTTTCCACCCTGTCTTGGTATCCAAGCTTCTAACTTTTATTTGTATGAGTTTAAATGTTTGGAATCTCATATAAATAGAATTATGAAGCAGTTGTCATTATGTGATTGGCTCATTTTGTATAGTGCATTACCCTCACAATTAAATCATATTGCTGCCCAGTTTTTTCCTTTTAAAGAATAAGTGATATTTAATTATATGTGTTTCCCACATTTTTGTCATGTAGTCATTTTGATGGGCATCTGAGTTGTTTCCTTGTCTCAGCTTCTGTCAGCAGTGCTGTGAAGAAGCCTGGTACCAATGCCTTTTCCTGAACATGATTTCAATGATTCCTTTTCATTTGGTTTTTTGAGACGGGGTTCTCAGCAGCTTGCTTTGTAGACCAGGCTGGTGTCAAAACCACAGAGATCCACCTGCGTTTGTCTCCCAAGGGCTGGAATTAAAGGTATGTGTCAACACACCTGGCTAGTTCCAATTATTTATAATAAATACTAATAAGTGCGGTATCTATGTTGCATGGTAATGTTGGGAACAGGCAAAAGCATTTTGTCCTAAGCGCTGACATTTTGACTTCAGACTCCATTTTACCTGCAGTGTGAAACAAAGTTCAGGTTCCCAGTTTACGCACCTCCTCCCTAAACTATGGAAATAGTTGTTATGGACTTGTAGTTCTCTGGAAACAGTATGGCTGTTTCTAACAACAGAAGGATCAGAAGAATCTGATTGGTTGGACTGAAAGGCTTGCATTGTACGTTGGTTGACAATAATGAAACACTTAAGGAAAGACCCTGCTTTTTTAATTCTGATGGATGAAAATTGTAAGTGTAATTTGGCAACAAATGTTTGTGATTTTGTGCTTAAATACTTGCTTAAATTGACATTGGGTTTGAAGTTCAGCTCCCGAGTCTGTTCAGTTTTCTCCACTTGCCCCCTTCTTTTGTGCCGCCTGAATTAAATCTTGCTTTGTGGTACCTCTTGTGTTTCCTTGGGTTGATTTGAAGCCTTGGACCACAACAGTAATTTTATTTTTAGTTTTTTGAATAGAGTTTATACTGTTTTTTTTTCTTTTTTGAGACAAGGTTTCTTTGTGTAATAGCTCCGACTGTCCTGGAACTCACTTGGTAGATCAGGTTGGCCCCAAACTCACAGAGATCCACCTGCCTCTGCCTCCCGAGTACTGGGATTAAAGGCATGCGCCACCACTGCCTGGGTATATACTGTGTTTCAACAGTGGTTGCATCATTTTGCTTTCCCAACATTGTGTTAGGTGTTTATAACTCTTTGCATCTTTGACAAGAGTATTGTCTTTAGTTTTCAAAAATACAAATGCATTTATTTATTTTATATACTTGATATTTTGTCTTCATATGTGTATATATATGTGTGCCATGTGTGTGCTGTGCCTGAAGCAGTCAGAAGAGAGTGTTGGATCCCCTGGAACTGGAGTTAACAGAAGGTTGAATCATCAAGTGGGTGCTAGGAACTGAACTAGGGTCCTCTGAAGAGCAGCCAATAATTTTAACTGCCAATTTATCTTTCCAGTACTATCTTTTGTTTTGTTTATTAATTAATTAATTATTATTATTATTAGTTTAGTATCTTTGTTTTTGATAGTAGTTATCTTAACATGGTATTGTGGTTTTTATTTACAAAATCCTTAATGATTTACAGCACTGAGCATCTTCTTGTATACCTGTTGGCTATTTGTATGTCTTCTGAGAGAAATGTTCATTCATGTTCTTAGGTCATTTTTAGATCAAATAGCTAGTTTTAAAGATGTTCAGTATTGAGTTGTATGAATTCTATACATGTTTTTGAGATTAACCTTTTTCTGATGTGTAATGATTAAACATAATATCTTATTTTGTGCCATTTTTCACTCTTTTCTTTCCTTTGTTATGCACAAACCTTTTAGCTTGATGTTGCCTTCCTTACCTAATTTTGCTCTGTGGCTCATGTATTTGGCATCATCCCTTGATTCAATTGCCCAGACCAATATCTGGAGTATTTCCTTTTATGTTTCTTGTAGGCATTTTATAATTTGGATCTAATGTTTAAGTCTTAAATCTACTTAAGAATTTTTTAAAAAATTATTTTACCTATGTGCATGTTTGTGTGTGTGTGGACATGTATTTCTGTACACATAGATGTAGAGGTGCCCACAGATACTAGAAGAAAACCAGGATCCCTTTCAACTAAAGGGAGCTAAAGGCTGTTGTAAGTCACTGAACATGGGTGCTGGGAACTGAACTGTGGTCCTCTTGAAGAACTAGTGCTCTTAACCTTTGAGGCATCTTTCCAGCCCTCAGTCTTTAATCCATTTTGAATTAATTCCCCCCACCAAGCATGTGTGTGTGCACATGTGTGCAGGCATATGAGCATGTGTATGCGTGGAGAGGCCAGAAGTCAACAATCATTCCTCTGGAGTCTTTCATCTCTATTTTTGAGATTAAAGTCTCTTATTGGGATCTGAGACTAACAATTAGCTAGGCTGGTTTGCCAGAGAGCCCTAGGGGTCTTCCTGTCTTTGTTGTCCAAGTGATGGGATCCCAAAGGCACAACACTTTGCCAGGTATTGGTACTGGAAATCTAATTCAGATCCTGCATTTTACTAACTGAAATATATCACCAGCTCCAAGTTGCTCTTTAAAAAATTAGTATCCACTGTGGACAGTACTAGGTATCATAACGACATTTTATATAAGTATATAATATACTTTGACCATGGTCCTCTCTCATACTCCCTACCCTCCTCTTCCTCGTGTTAATTTTCTTTTCATTCTTTTCTGGGGTTGCTGAGACAGGGTTTGACCCAGGTTAGTTTTGAACTCTCTTTGTAACAGAGGATGAGCTTGCTCTCCTGAATCTCTTGTCTCCACCTCTCAAGAACTAGGATTATAGGCATGAACCATATAGTTATGTAGTGCTGGGGATCAAGCTTCCTATTTGTCAGACAGGGATTCTTCCAACTAAGTTACATTCCTAAATCATGAGTTGATTTTGTGTTATGGTATAAAATAAAATACAGAATCTGTCACAATATGTTTGAAGAACTGTCAGATAGAAGTGACCTCTAGAGAGGAGAAACAAGAGGACCCACGGAAGGATGTGAGTCATAGATAGACTTTAGCCTGAGATGAAGTTTAACAACCTGAGTTGTCTTGTAAGGGATGGTCCATCTTACAAGGTAGTGATGACTCCTACGGAGAGCCAGAGCGGATCCTGATGACTGTCCAGAAGACAAACTCTTTTTGATTTATACTATGTGTATGAGTGTTTGGCCTGTATGCATGTATGTGTACCACATGTGTTCAGTGCCTGAGGAGGTCAGAAGAGGGCATCATCTTTCCTAGAACCGGAGTTAGGGATGGCAATGAACAACCATGTGGGTGCTGGGAACTGAACACAGGTCCTCTGCAAGAACAACAGGTGTTCTTATCCGCTGAGCCATCTGTCAATCTCCAAGAAGAAGAAGGAGGAGAAGGAGGAGAAGGAGCAGGAGCAGGAGCAGGAGCAGGAGACAACGATGATGACGACAGAGTTATTCTCAAAAATTGTAAGATTCAGTGATGCTCGCTTTCATCACTCCCATTATTTTCACTTATTACATTAAGCAACTTTCCCCTTTTCGCACTTTTTCACTGTTGAAAATCTCCTTAAAAGTCCTGAGTCCTGTTGGGAGTTTTCGTTTTCATTAACAAAAACAACAAAATACGAAAGAAAAGTTCTCCTACATGTTGCTACTATTATTATTAATTATTTTTTCGTTCAGTACCTGGTTGTACAATAAGCAAACTGGAGCCCACAGAGATGGGGAAGCTTGTCTGCATTTACAGACAAGTAATTCGGGCAACGCAAGCCCGAATTATACGAACATCACACATAGAGAGTTTAGCCTTTAGATGTGTAGATACTGTGTTCTCATCTTAGATATAACTTTTTTTTTAGCTACTTATAATTTTTTTTCTCTGAAAAATTAGCATGATATATATGAGTTAATCCATACAAAGCATCTGGTATGTAATAGCTGCCCTACAAATGTTGTTTTGCCTCTCTTCATTCATGTCCAGGGCATAATATTGTTTTATGTGATATAGCTTTATTTTCAGAATGACAGAAGCATAAATTTTCTCTGGAAGTCAAATGAGACTTTGCATATCAGACCATGTGTCTCCAAGTGCTGAGGACATTTCTGAATTATGCATGTCATTCCACCATTATTCTATTATTATAATCAGTTGTTTTATTTGTCTCGTGGCAGGATTTTCCTATGTAGCTTAGTCGGATTCCAACTTGCAATCCTTCTGCTTCTGCCTCCCGAGTACCAGAATCAGAGATTGC